CAGCAGGATTAAGCTGACTTCTGGCAAGACCTGTGACACTCACGATTATTTCTCTTGATAAATGCTTCATTGTATCCTTAAAATAATTATTCCGTAGGTTTTTGACCTTTTCTTCTTGGGCAAATACTGATCTTTCCCCTTGGTTTCTTTCGTGCCACGGCCCGTTCTGCTGGGTCTGGCCCACCTGCGGGGTGCAGGATGATGCCTGGCCTCCCTTCCCACCAAGGGCCTGGGGACGATCCTGTCCATACCCTGCAGTACCGGGTGGGAGCAAGAGCCTGTAGTCGTGGAAGCTGTCAGTGGCTTTAAAAGCATGATTTACTATGCTGACACTTCGTTTGCTTCCTATTTGCCCTTGCAAATGTTTTCTGTCGGTGAGATTATGCTCCTGGAAAACTTGTGCTGGGCCTAAAGACAATTTGCCAAACTGTTGAGTATTGTCATCTTGGTGCGGGAAGATACTTGACATGTAAGGTGTGGAACACAATCCCAAGGTAGGAACGGATGGAGAGTTTAGAAAAAAGCTGATCTGTGTATGTTTTTATAAAGCCTCCCACTTCTCTAATATCCGAGCACCTCGCAGACTTCAGTTTATTTATTTTCAGGGCATTCAGTGAGATAAAAATGCTCCCATTCTGTCAATGGTGAGCTGAACGTAAAGACAGGCTGATGAAGCTCCACAGACTGGGGTTTGGTTCTGTGTGACAGGGTTACATGGTCATGTTGCTGGTAGCTTACTGCAGAATAAGCTAGTAACTGGAATCATAGAACCATTTATGTTGGAAAAGACCTTTAAGATCATCAAGTCCAACCGTTAACCTAGCACTGCCAAGCCCACCACTAAACCATGTCCCTAAGCACCATGTCTACACATCTTTTAAATGCCTCCAGGGATGGTGACTCCACCAGTTCCCTGGGCAGACTGTTCAAGTGCTTGACAACCCTTCTGGTGAAGAAATTTTTCCTAATATCTCATCTAAGCCTCCCCTGGCACAACTTGAAGCCATTTCCTCTCCTCCTAACACTGGTTACTTGGGAGAAGAGACTGATCCCCACTTGGCTACAACCTCCTTTCAGGGAGTTGTAGAGAGCAACCAGGTCTCCCCGCAGCCTCCTTACTAGACCATGAGTTACCACCCCAGCAGTAGGAAGGTGAGAAGTCATCTACCTGTGAGCCAGGTTCTGTTCTTCCTATGAGGAAAGGCTGCTAGGGGTTGAACAGGTAACCAGAAAAGTGTGATTTCATCTCCCTGATACAGGGATATGTCTTTTTCTTAGCCAGCCGCCTTGGTCTGAGAACTGACTCAGAACAGGGTGTCCTCTTCATTGCTACTGCTATTAGCATCTCTTCTTCACACACCTTCTTCACCTCCCTCATCACAGCTTCTGGAGGCTGGGATATATTTCTGGTCCCAATGGCAGATGTACCAAGTTTCACCTTTTTTTTTTTTTTTTTTTTTTCCCTTGGGACACCTGTTTATCCAGACCCTGGTTATATAGGGCATGTGATGAAGAGCTAGGAGATGAGTTCTTAGCTGTGGACACAGAAAGCTTTACAGACATCTGTCTAGAATAGTCAAGGCTCTTTTTGTTTGTGGAAGAAAGGCAGGAAACCTGCAAAGCCCCCTTCTTCCTTTCTTTCTAGCAGAATCGTCTTTTCTTCCCTCAGGTAAGCCACATCCCTTTATGTTTTAGCAAGCTCTGTGTTTTAAAAGCTGTTTTCAGTAGGCATGTGCTTTACACCATTCCAAAAGGAAAAGTGGAAAATATATCATCATGGAGACATGCTAATTTTTGAAATGTTAGTCAAGCATCAGTAATAGAAGAGGATAAATAATACCTTTATGGGCATTTTCTTTTGTCTTTGCCATACGTGATGTAAAGTGGAGTTCAGAGAATTTGTTTTAAAGAATTCTTCCCGTCTTTTGAGGCAGTGAGGGAGTGTAAAGCTTTCTTCAACAAAGTAACATCTCAAAGGGAACTCTGGTTGATGTTTATGTGTTTATAAACACTAAGGCTGCATTTATCATAAACCTTATTAAATCACAGTAGCCTATTTGTTGTTATCCAAATATGGATATGACCAGAAGATGTCAGTCAAAAAATTTTTTAAAAATTCCTACCTAAAACTAACCCCTCAATTTTATGACCTAGAATTAGAGCATAGTCAGCAAGACATAATTTACCACTGTGATATAATTGCTGTGAAATATAGTGAAATTTTTTAATCAGTGGGCTAGCAAGATACAGATAAGTTGTGTTCTGACTGGCAGTGTTAGAGTCCCACTGCTCCATGATGAGCTGCTCCATAAATACGCTTTAAAAAATGTAAATGCTCATCTGATAAGAAATCCTGAATATGGAAAGTCTTACTTAAAAGCAAGGCAACACACCAGAGGACAGAAGAAAATGATGTGTAAGAAAAGCAGCAGTATTCTTGTTCTGATGGGATGCTTCCAACTAGGGAAACAAAGCAGCATAGATGATGTCTCCGACTTTGGAGCAGGATCTGTTGTTGTGCCCAGGTGGTCATAGGCTAAGGGCCAAATGTGACGGGAGCCAATGTGAAACGTATATCCACACCTAGGTATCTGAGACAGGTGTTCTTCTAGATGTTGTGGGAGGCCAGCATGCTAATCCACACATGGAGATCTTGGTATCCAGGTCTTGCAAGAGTTCCTTGTCACCTTGTTAGAGGAATACTGTGAATATTTTATTGTATGCTACCTACTGAAAGTGGTAAGGACTGCACTGATTTGCCACACAAGTGAAATAATGCTGGTTGTATGGGAAGAGGGTTTTACTGTGCACACGAAGAAGAAAATGAATGCTATTTGACTGTCTCCAAATTCCATGCTAGTAGAGAGTCAATCTCCATATTTTAATTAGATAACCAGTACATGGAAATAGCACTGAAGACATTCTCCTCCTCTCTTGGCAGGCAACCTTGGTTTTATGGCTGGGGCTTTAATCTTCCACGAGGCCAAGCACTGTTAGAGAAATGGAACCTTATTCCAGATGGAATAGATATTCTTATAACACATGGACCACCTCTCGGTAAGAAAATACTAGTGCTCTTAGCTGTGTATTTCAGATGATTTTACAGTAACTGATGGCTCTCCTTAGACAAAGAGTGCAATCCTGACTTACAAAAGTCAAAAGTAACATCCATACTGATTTCAGCAGCACTAGAACTTCAGCTCAGGTTTATGTTTCATGATTGCCTATACTCAGTGGTAGGGAATTAAATAATGGCTTAAAAAATAAAGCTTTAACACATAAAGCCTTAATGAGCTTTATCGATAAGCAAGGTGTGGTTTTCCTATGCATCTGCCCACTCTGCCACCAGTGAAATTAGTAGATTTAAAGCATGGAGCCTGCTTAAAGAGGAATGCAGGATTGAGATCTTTTTTTTTTAGAACCATCTTTCTCCTTCACTTGCAGTAGCATTCCCCCACTAACAAGTACTCAGTGTTTGTATTTTTCCTTATCATGCTGACTTGGTGCATCTTCTGCCTCACAAACCCAAATGCTGCCATTGTTTGCCTGTTCTTTGGACAGCTTGGGTGAATTGCCTATCCGTAATACAATCTAGCAACACTTAACAGACCAACAAGAAATAGTTTTGCATTTGTGTTTTACAAGTATTAATATAGGTGATACAAAAGCCGGGAGAGGTTTCTTGTATTCATAGATAATAGTGAAATTTTCTGTGTTACGGAAATAATATAATCACAGAAATGTGTCCAGATTCAGTAAAGGCTTAAGGCATTTAACATGTTTTTCAATGTATTTAACATATAGTGAGCTATATTTAATGCAACTACGTCTTTAACTGTCACTAATGTAATAAATGGACACAAACGTGAAGCATGGACTGAAGTGTTCTACTGAGTCTTACTGTGGAGGAGTGCTTTGCGTGAAATGAAGGCAGTTGATTTCTTTAAACCTTTAGATTCCCCAATTTCCTGAAGCTAAAAAACCCTCTTGTCTTCTACCCTTTCTTCTCCTCTTTCAGAGCTTGGAGGAGAAAGTATCTAAAGGGTTTGTGTTTTGTTGTTTTCTTTAGAAAGACATGTTTGCATTCCACTGCTCACTAATCCTGGGGAAAGGGCTTCTTTGTGACCGCAGTTTCTCACAGTAAGGGCATGTGTTTTGATACTTCACCTAAGTGGAGTCTCATGCCATGCCATAGACTGATTTTAATATGGACCTGTATTGTAAAAGTGGATAGCAGAAATTAATAGTTTAGACCTTGAGACAGCAGCTCCAAATGGTTAGTACTGAGGGTAGTCCCTGTTAGGATCCAAGGCATGGGTCTTTGATACAGTTTTATTTATAAGTCATAGTTAAAACTTTTTCAGAAGCTTTTTCAGCACTTTTAAAGCCATTTTTAAATCCGGCTGATGAGCTGTAAGGAACCACCCTTCAGCTGATCCAAAGAATGTGCCTGTATCTAGCACTTGAAATCCAGTGTTGGAAAGGTGGAGAGAGGGGTTTGCACCACCCAGCTTCAGCCATCTTGCTAATTTAGCCACCAGGCCTCTCCAGGTGGCCTCTGGGATCAGCAGAGGGAGGAGAACCTCTGGAGAGTACTGCACAGCTGGCACTCAACAGACATGCTTTAATAATAAATTTAATAGTAAATTTAATAATTGAAAAATAACTTCGTAAGTGTAGTAATTCTGAGGAAGAGCCACCCATCTGCACTGACTGCAATGGGATAATATGAATTCCCCCCATCTCCATGTCTCAGTATTTGTCTTTTTTTTTTTTTTTAATTCTTAAGCTTCAACCAACATCCAAGGATTTTCTTTTTTAAAAGTCTCCGTTTCTTTGTCTTTTTCTTATTGATGCATTAATAGATGGCTCAGGCACAGAACCCTCTGCCTGAGGGCATCAGCTGTTGGTCTCCCTGACACCCACAGCAACAAAGAAATGACACTTCAAAAGAAATTAGCACTCTGCCTAACTTATGGAACCTCCTTATTCAGTAGCTCTGTCCTCAAGACATTTTGGGAGACAGGATTCTCCTTGACCCTCCCAGCCAATTATTTTAACCAGAAAGCTGATTACTGTTGTTCTGATCTTGGACAGCGTCACTAGAGCTGTTCTGAATGATCATAAATAGCAGTCAGTGCTCTTGAAACTCCTCTTTTTTCTCCAGCATAGCTGCCTAAATTCTGTCCATCGTCCATTTTCTGTACTGCTTTCTCATTCCCTCACTTCAAAAGAGTGCACATCTGCCTAAACTAATTAATACATTATTAGATAGATTTAAAATTGCCCGCATGATTTAGGTGCGGAAGCACCATTAAGAGTTAATGGACTTTGTGTTTTTAAGTCAGTTAGGCACATAACAAAAATCTGAGTTAATTTTTGTTTTCTGTTTTAGAATAGTGCTTTGGGATGCAACCAGGGCAGGGATACACAGGAAGTTCACACAGGATGAGGAAACAAAGGTTAAACCAGCTGTTATTGACCATTTTATTAGTAACGTGTTCATTATTAGTAAAGATACGCCATATATTTCATAGCTTATGAAATACAGTATTCATGATTATGGGATCAGTGCTAATGGATGATTCTGTATCAGCATATTTTTGTTACTTTAATGTATAGTATAACTTTCTAGGTCTTTTCCCTGATTCCTAAAGATCTGCATTTATGATTCTTTTATTTCTTTTCCAAAATTTCATTTTTCTTTTCTTTGTTTTTAATTTAATTTCACCTTTAAGTCTTCATTTATAGCTGTCTGCTTGATTGTCTATGACAAAGATTTATACTTCCCTGACAGCTGCAGAAACCTGATTCAAGTAACTGAACATTAAAAAAATCCTAAGATGAACTCTAATTGTTAGCTAGGTGTAATCAATTATTCTTAGTTTGTGTAGTCAGGTGTACATAATAAGCTGCAAACATATGGGAAGGCTTCAGAAGGGTGATAATGCATGTAAACAAAAACATGTTCAACATAAATAATGCTTAATTTAATGGAGAAGTTAATTTTATGGATTTTTGTTTGTGAAGTTTTTGAAGTGGAAATACTTTTGGCTTTGTGCTCACCACAGACATTTTGACAATTAACTGTTTCAAATCATTGAAGTAACAAAACCTATCGTTATAGCATGTTTGCTCTGAAAAAAGTGTGACTGGATTCCAGAGGAGCTGCTGGCCTCACTTTGACATCTTAAATATGTATTATTTCCTACAGTCAATTTTGACCTGCATTGGATACCAAGAGTGACTGGTAAAATCAGTTACTAGAACTGAGCATTGCTGTGCTCTGTCTGTAATTCAGCAGGGCTTTCTCTTTGTACATCCCCCTGACAGGAGGCAAGCAGCATCTTCAGAGACGTCTGAATGAATTAGGAGTTTATGGCCATTATCAGAAATTTCTCTTTTAGACACTTAGGTTGCCACATTCCCAACTCATTTCTGAAAATTGGACTTAGCTCTCCAAGTAACTATGATACAAGGGCAAATTGTTACCGTTTTCATAAAACCCCACGCTGTACTGAGCCTGGTTTTCAAATGCTGGCATCTAAAAGAGGTATTTCTCAATGTGTGAACCTACCCTGAAGCTCTAGCGAATCTGAGAGCTTTTCCAAGAGCTTGAATACCACAGTTCTGGTCTTTTGAGCCAGTTGGTTAGCTGCTATTTAGCCATGCTTGAGCGGACATCAAAAGTATGAAAACCAGGTCCAGACTCTGTACCTCTCCGGCTGACTACTGTTTTCTCAAAGGCATAATATATTCATGTTATTGCTGCAATCTAAGAGATACAAAGCTATGTCAGGCACACAGGCAAAGTAGCAGAACCACTAAAGAAAAACAGAATTATTTTATCTTTTAGGCTTCCAAAGTTAAGCCTGATGAAAATGGCAGAACAGTAGAAAGAAAACAAGATGGGTTATTACAAACCCTCTAATACAAAAACATCCTTCTTACACGACTACTTTAAAGGAAACATGAGACTTCACTTGGCAGTAAGCATCCCCCTGCAGTATGTTTTTAGACATATAAGCAAGTTGGTGTACATTTTTGTCTGCATTCATTAAAAATGCATTTTTATACAAACTTCGTGCAGGTAAATATAGGGCTTAAAATCATCTACTGCCGAAGGGCTGAGCTTCTCTTCCTACCTGAGGTGCATAGATTTAGGTTAGTGGGGCTTGCTGTGTCATGAAGTGCTTAAACCAGTTTTACTTGAGGATGTTGTTTTTAGGGATTCTGTGGGTTCCTCATCTGAGTTCCACTACTATAAGATTCAATGTTACAACAATACAGTTTTACTATTAGCAACACAGATTCCATTACATGAGTTAAAGTGTCCAATTAAAAAAACTAGATCCCAGGGCTAGATTTAAATAGCTACGTGTTGATTTAGATTCTTCAGAGACTCCGTTTGGACATACTGCTCTTTACATCTCACTCTCTTAAAGGAAGAAGATAAAGCATTGAGTTTTCCCATTAACAGCAGTGAAAAAATGCTTTAATTGCAGTGATTTTTTTTCCTTGAAAAACAACTGGCAGGAGTTGTCATAGTCCTTTTTCTTCGGATGAGCTTTTATGGTTTTCCTCCAGTATTTTTCCTTCCTTCCTCTTCTGCTTACCAATGAAACACTGTTTTTTCCATGTCAGTTCTTCTATGGCTGCTTATGAAAAGCCATGAGACACAAAATCTCAGAAATACTGTATAGCAGTACAGCTTTGTAGATAACCTGTCTTCTTTTAAAGCCTTCCTTTCTTTTCCAAAGGTTTTCTAGACTGGGTTCCTAAGAAAATGCAACGGGTAGGATGTGTTGAGCTGCTGAACACAGTCCAGAGACGAATACAGCCAAGGCTTCATGTTTTTGGACATATTCATGAAGGTCAGAACACGTTTCTTTCTATATATATTTAGAAACCACAAACACAGAAGTTGTCTGGTTTAGCTAGCATTTTCAAACTTGAATGTCTGAACCGAAGCATTTCTGGAATTCAGATACTTACTTAGCTGCATATATAGAGATGAAATTGGCTGATACCCAGATTTCAATATTTGTACTTCAGCTTCTCTCTCAGTTTCTACATCTATAAAACAGGATGATGCCTCCTTTACAGAGAGGATTACTGTGAATTTTAAAATAAGAACACCAGTCCAGTAGTTACAGAAAGTGACTAAATATTAGGATTGATGGATTGTATTTTCCTTGCTGAATCTCCGTGACTTAAGATAATTCATGTAAGCTCTCTGTGTCTCAGTTTCTGTGTTTGTAAAATGGGTAAGAATGCTTTGAGGGGTGCTTCTAAGGCTTAATCTTCAAGACTGTACAATAAAGGTAGTCTCTCCTCCTCAGTGTGTATATGAAGTTGAAATCAAGAGAAATGGCACCACTGACTTGTGTAGAAGTTCACGATATTTATTCATGTATTTATTTGCTTTGGCAGGGAAACCATTTTGTACTCAGACAAAACAAAGCAGTTCTCTTGACTATATGATTTTTAACTGGAAGAAAATTAGTTCCCTTCACATAAGTCAGTAAACGGTGACAAATATGCTCCATTGAAGTTAGTGACAGCAGGAGTTCATCTCCAGGCAAAGGGACAGGCAGATGCTTTCTGCTATAAAGAAGTCTGTCCTATTCACATGTCATGGCAGCAAGACTTCAAGCAGTGCCCCCACCAAAAGAAACCACTGGGCTGTGCGGAAGTGTACCCCTTGGCATGTAAGCATGTATTATCAGCTGCTTAGTTCTTGGCAATGTTAACTTACTGGCAGGAAAAGGTGCTCCGCAACTGCCAGTTTTCTGCTTCTGGGACTGCTCCAGCCTTTGATGTAGGATCTCTGTGGGTCTCACCAGTGTAGAAGTGAACAAATGGGAAAACTGGAGTAGCTGGCATTCAGATACTTCTGGTTTTGTGAAGAGCCAGTACCCTTCCCAAGAAATCCCACTCTGACTTGCTGCTGGGGGCTTTCACCATGCTAAGTTAGAAGTGACATTGATGAGAGATGTGCTGTTGTAAAACTGATGGAAAAGACATTCGGATCATTATTTTACAGCTCAGGGGTTAAGTCCATTCTCCTCATCTGTCTCACCTGTTCATGCCTAGTTAATGTCCAAAGTGCTCTTAAGTCAGAGACTAAACAAACAATGCATAGGCAGTATTGTTTCCTAACCCTTTGTTGTTAGAGCAGTCTTTGAGATTCCATACAAGAGAGCTGGTGAATACAGTTCAAACTCATTGTCTTTTCAGAAATCGTAAGCTAAGTGGGTTGCAGGGGATATAAGCAAACAGTTAGCAAGCCATGAAGCTTCAGGCAGGTAAACAAAATCACATCTGATAAGACCAAGCCCAACTTTTGCTCCCAAGGGAAAAGAATGGCACCTCCACAGAATGCTAAATCTTGTGAATACAGTTGGCACAGTAGGTATCAGAACACAGAAACAAGGTACTCTTCTTGTTAACTATCATAATTTAGAGAAAACAAATGGCGAACTGCGTAGCCTGTTTTGCAGTGGGATGCTAAATCTCTGCAGAGGAGAATTCCCATTGCAGACAGCCTGTGCAAACGAAGCTGCTCTTTGTAAAGAGAATGCATGATTTGAACAGATGAGTTCTTCCCCTGACTGAGCATAGCTACATCTGCAGCAGTCATTTGCTGAACATCCGGGAGGAAGAGTTGCTTAGAAAAGATATTTCTTCCCTATTCCCCCTCTGCATTGTTGTCTCTGCCAAAAAATACCTCTACACATGGGCTTGCTGCTGATCAACCCATGGAAGTGACAAGCAGCATGGCAGGGACCCTGGCTAAAACCCTGCTTTGCCCTTTACAGCCAGTATTTGGCTGAGGTCAAGGCCAAGGAAACTCTGTTGGCAGTAGGGTAGGAGTGAAAACTGTAGCATTAGGAATCTTCCGGCAAAAAGAGCGTATTAGCAAGCTGATTCTGTTCTCTCCAAACGTGTAGCCGAGGAGACAGAAAATCCCAGCAGCAATGCTGACTGTCCTCCATGCAGTTTGTGTTTTACACAGAACAATTGTTCTGTAGCAAACAGCAAATGATTTAAAGAAATGTCTGTGACAGGAACCTGACAGAGTTTTCTTCCCTCCCTAGTCCCTAATTATAGTGTGGTTTTTCCACAGGGAGTCCAGGAGGCCCTGCATTATTCAGGGTATTTTAAGGAACAAAAAAGAAAGGAATTTGGCTACTGTTTCTTTGTTTGTAAATTATGCAACTATCAATGCTTCTATAAGACATGAAATTGCGCACAGAAAAACTGTAGGATCCTAGGTGCCTAGGATTTAAATAGCTGGAACTCAGTGTACATAGCAATGAATGTTTTACTGTTAACTTCATTAATAGTGAGACTGAATCTTAGTACAAATGCTTTCTACCAGGTGGTTTCCCCAAAAACATGTATTTCTGATTGTGAATGCATTTCTTTGTATCAATTATAATATTTCAATGCAAGTTTCCAACATTAAGCTTTTAGTTTTAGTGTAATCAAGCTTATGTTTTTCCTAGTCAACCATGAAAAGATAGTTGACAATGGAGAGTGTGTCTACTTTTTCGTAACACCAGGGCAGGTAAAGGGCTGCTGCTTCAACTTTCTGAAGCAGCATTTCACTGTATTTCTACAGGCATTAGAGCTGGAAGTTTGATTTCCTGCACGTTTCGCTCTGGAATTGTTTGCCTTGGGTGTCTAGTCAGACATGAGATGTAGTTAAAGCTTTTTTGCCAGTGATGAGACATACAGAAGACTGTTTTCTCCCGTGGAAACATTATGATGTCTTAGGGTGTGAATTCACCTTGTCTGTCAGAGAATGCGTTAATAAAGCCATTTTTTCTCTGCCTGGGCAGGCATTTTAATGTCTTTCCATCAAATTTGGTGGAAATTGGTCAGCAAGTTCAAACACATAGGAAGAAGAGGTTCCTACTAGACAAATCCCGCTCAGGTGCACATGCAGACATGCTCCTCTTAGTCAAGCAATGCTTTTTCTTCATTGGTTGCTTAAAAGATGTACAACACAGGACAGAAAAAAAAGTGGAAAGATGAAACTGGCCCCAGGTTTGCTGCAGTGATGACTACAAACCTAAATGATCAGAAGTACAATGTTTTCAATGCTGCAATTGCCTAAGCTCTATCTTCTCATCCTTTCCAAAAGTGAGAAGGTTTTAAGAAAAAACTTTGCAGAGGAAAGTGTCTGCCTTTCTTAGGAGGTTTGGAGAGCCAGCTGCCAGAGATTATAGCCACTAGCTTGTGAGGGTCCATTTTGCTTTTCTTTCTTACACAATTTAAAAGATAGCAAAAAGTTCTGCTGTAGGGCAAAGATGATATTAATTCAGGAGACATTTATGTTTTACATGAAGAGAATTTTTTAATTCCTTCTGAGTAATGGGCACTTCTTATTATTGTGTGATAAAGGTGAATAAATAAAAAAAGAGAAGATAATAATGAATAATGAGAGTAACCAGAGTTTTTCTTTCTTTGTAGGTTATGGTGTCATGGCTGATGGAACTACTACCTATGTGAATGCATCTGTGTGCACTGTGAATTACCAGCCACTTAATCCACCTATAGTTATTGACTTACCTACTCCAAGGAACACATGATTATAATGAGGATTTAAAGTTGTACCCAACTCATTAGCAACTTTATATTGCTGGCTGAGAATCTCAATAGGGAACCATTCAACAAAAAAAGCAAAAACCTTCTTCTTTTTTCCCTGCTAGGTCTTCACAGACAAATTTTGAGTGACAAAAGTGGATGAGGAACAAAGACATTGTGGTGCCAGAAACAGATTAAAGACTTTAACATTTCACCATTAAAATATTTGTGAACACAGAAAAGTGAATGCATTCCATATATATATATATATACACACATATACATCTCTCTCTCTCTCTCTCAAGTAAGGACTTTTGTGTATACCGTACATTATATCGGACTTATTAAAAGAACAATGTCTTTCAAAAGAGTGTTTCTTTAAGAAAGTTTGCAGTTTAAACTTAAGTGTTTAGACTAGGATTTCCTCATTTCAGATGTTTCCCAGTGAGCTCTTGGTAAAAGAAAAATGGTGGTAAAGATGCTTTCCCTTAATTAATATGGCAAATACAAAAGATGGTGCATGAATGACCAGTCACAGGAGGAGAGCTATTACTTCAAGTCCTCCAGGTCTAAGTCTTTGCATCTATTCAAAACCAATGCAATAGAGGCCCTAATTCACTGTACTGAAATGAAGTTTTACTACATCTGGCATTACAGATGGTAAGGGAAATGGTGCATATTGCCAGCATGCTGTAAACAGCTCAACATTCAAGAAGGGAGACTGTGTTAAGTGCAGTATAAACTCAGGAATTTGTAACCTGGCCTCGCCTGTGAAAAAAAAGGATGACATTTCCCTTAAAAAAAAACAAAAAAAACAAAAAAAACCAACTGTGTTTTCATATGGTAAGACGATATGTGATTGTATGTAAAAAGCAAAAAAAACACCCACAAAAAACCCACCCAGTGTTCAGTAGTGGTATTTTAAATAAAACCCACTGGGACTATTTGTTTAAAACCTGTTAATGGGACATGCAGCCAATGATGAGATTACTGGTTTGAATTTGGCCCCGGTCAGAAGTGATTAAATGTCATTGTGATCATTTTGTCCTTGGGGAACATTATGGATGTCAAGGGGAAGGGGTCATTCCAAGGTGGAGTCTGGGCATTCACATTTGGGTAGCTATGTAGTAGCGTAAGTGCGATGAGTAACGAGTACACACCGATGGGTACAGAGCAGGGGCCGCCTCACAGAACCTGGCATTGCTTTTTGCCCGCTCATGGACACTGCTGAGAGAGACCTGGGACAAAATCGTCAGCTGAGTTGAAACCCATCTGTCGTGTTGCATGTGACGCCAGGCAAAGCTCGGGACGTGGCCAGCTGCCATGGCACTGCTCAGGCGGCTTTCCTGCAGGTTAACAGAGGTGTTGAAGCTGCTGGGATTTCAGTCCCATCCTAGGCAGAAGCTTGAGAATGAATTACAAACCCACCAAAAAAGAAAAGTGCTTCAAACGTGCCCTACAAGAAATGGGTTTCTGCCTTGAACCACGAACGTCTCCATGCTCAAAGAGGAGCCTTTTTGCCTTAATGGAGATAATTTAACTGCTGTATTCTAAATGTGGACATTATGAATTTGGGGCTGACAGCATCTAGACTTTCATCTTTTCCACACACATTGGGCAGATCATCGCATTACCAGTACAGGGTTGTTTGCGGGTCTGTGCATAGCCCACATCTGCACACATGCATTCGATAATTGTGTATGTTTTGCCTGATATATGGATGTAAATGTGAGCTTCATGTAGCAGCTGCATGTACATTATATGCATACACAATTTAAAATACCTGTGTCGCAAAACCAGGCTATGTCAGCCTCAACTCTAAGGAAGGTGAGCAGAAACATTTCGTTTCACAGGCTTCCCTCGGGCGGCAGCTCTTCCAGCTGCTGCTGGGAGCGGTGCCATTGGAGCCCAGTAACTAACTCGTGCCGTGGACTCACCAGAAAAACCACCGAAAAACCCACAAGTCACAGGTCTGTCATTCATTGTAAGCTGCTGGGTGACTTGGAGTCTAAGTGAATGTGCTGATTTTTCCTGAAATGAAACCCAGACCTATCGGTGGCGCCTGCAACTGGTTTTTGGGTGAATGGTTCACAAGTGCATGAGCAGTCTGCCATGAATCCAGCTGGGGCCGCTTTGGTCAGAACGATTGGTGTAGAAATGGCAGGGTCAGCTCCTAAATCAGCAAGGACTGGAATTCATAGTTGACTATGAACTCCCGCCATCACTGGGGAGATGAGCAATAGCGTGCAGTTAGCATACAAGTGTCTTAGCTAGTCACGATTCAAGCGGTTTGCAACAAATGTGGCAGGAAATTGGCTGTATGTTAAAGTCTGAAATGTTTACATTCGCTCATGGCACTTAAGGATGACAATGTTAAAAGTAGGGGGAAGAGGTCCTTTTATTAGCCTCAACAAAATTTCTATGATGTCGACCATAAACTATTCTCTTAAAAATAATTTTTCCTAAGGTATCTTCAAAATACTGTGTATTTTTATGTGGAAAGGATACGAAAGCAGCTGTTACTTCAAAATATCATTTAAAGTACTTGAGGTATGAAAGCTTAAAGATTATTTCATCATTTTGGCATAACTTGATTGTTGTTGTAACTTTTGGTCAAGCATGTTAGACAAATAAAGTCTAAAAAAAAAACCAAAACCAAACCAAAACAAAAATGAAGGCCTCTTTATACCCACCTCGTGCATTCTGGTCCGAGTGGGAAGGGCTGTCCGTCGCTGCGGGACGCCGGAGAGGTTATGGCGAAGGGTTGTGGCTCCGCGGGGGGCTCGGCTGGCAGAGGGGCCGGGGGCGGTGGGCAGGGGGGGCCCTGCTCCATCTGCCAGCTCCAGGCCTCCAAATCTCCTGCAGAAAGTACCGAGGTGGAC